CCCCAAAACCCCAAAACCCCAAAACCCCTTTGGTTTTATTATAAGAAAAGAGAAATAAATTAGAAATTTGAATTATGGCTAATAATTTAAATCTATCAAATAGAGAGACCTAACAGAATCGCAACTCTATTAAAGTAAATTATCAGTTTAATCTAAATTATAGGATGAACATTGACAATAATATATACAAAAGACCTACTGCCAGGGTTCAAGGAATGTCCTCCAGACAGCAAGTTCTTTATTTATTGCAAAAAACGCAGAAGGAAGCCAACTGGGACATGGAAAATGACTCTGATTTCCAAGATGGTAATACTTATACGAAAGATTCACCAACAAATTTTAGAATTATCCCAAGAAACCTACCAAAATACCAATGACGAGCTATAGTAGCCCAGTAAGAGAAGAGTTTTAGACAGTTATTCAGTGCCATATAATGAAGAATTGGAAATTAAAAGAGAGAAAATGGTTAGTTATATTATCAATCTTAATGCTTAGCTAGAGGCAACAAGAGATAAAGAATCACCCTGAGCGTTTCCGCTTACTTGCTTATTCTCTGTCCCAGTTCACGCCAATCAAGAAAAACAAATATCTAGAGAGAAAGCGGCATATTCTACTCGAGAAAGAAGCAAACTAGCTATTGGTTTGTAATTGCCAAAGATCAACTATAAAAAAGAATGAAAAAACTAATCCATTACAATCATTTAACTGTGGTGAGAGGTGTATCAATAGATGTGTATCTACTGAGTGCTGCGTATAGACGTGTCCTAGCGGGGCATTTTGCAAGAACAGAAGATTTCAATTACACTAAAATGCTTACGTGTTCCCGGCCAAAACCGAGAAAAAAGGCTGGGGATTATTTGCTGGTGAGTTTATACCTAAGGGAACTTTTATAATGCAGTACGTTGGTGAAGTATTCTCTGTGGATTCTGACCTTGGATAAGAGAGAGTTTAGTAATATAGAAACTCTACTTGCACATATCTTATGCGGACTACAAACAACGAAGTAATAGATCCCACTTACGTTGGTAATATTGCGAGGTTTATTAATCACTCTTGCGAACCAAGCTGTGAAACTCAAAAATGGAATGTGTTAGGTGAGGTTTGTGTTGGCATATTCGCTTTAAGAGATATATAAGAAAATGAAGAACTATCATTTGATTACTAATTCGATTTCTTCAAGACTCCCTTTACCAAATGTTATTGTGGCACTTCAAAATGCAAAGGTTATCTAGGAGTACTCTCAAGGAATAACGAGGATGATGATGAAGAATTAGAGAATCCTCTGTGTGTTTATTGCCAGGATTATATCAATGATAAAGATGATTTAGTAGTCTGTAATGGAAATTGCAGAGAAACTTATCACATTATCTGCATCATTAAGAAAGAAGGCAAGACCAAAACTTAGGCTCAAGCTCTCATGTAGCAATCTGATAGAAGAAACTTTTTATGTCGAGATTGTCTAACATCTTTGAATATAAAGAAAAGGAAAAATAAAAAATTGAATAGAGAGGGAGAGGATTCATCATAATGGTAAAATGACAGTAATACTCTTGAAAACCCCTAAGAAGATAAAGATGACGATAATCATGATGATAATGTGCTACCTTGGGAATCTAAAGATCCAAATGTGAGAAAATATTATGAAGATAGCAAAAAAAACAGGGAAATAGACAAGATTATAATGAGAGAGATCGATCTAATCATCCAGAATATGGCAGAAATCAATGAGTTAGCTAATTAAAATAGTAAAATGAAGAGAGCGAAGAAGAAAAATAGTCAATTTAGTGATTTTTACAACTTTATATCTGAACTTTAGAAGAGATTGAAGATGAGATCTAGTGGAGATAAAGAGCATATTAAATTTAGAAAGCACAAGGATGATATATAAGAGAGCAAAAGGAACAAACTTTAGCTTCTATAGTCTAAGAAAAATCTTAAATTAAGTAAGATTGATCTAGAAGAAGTGAAGAAAAAAAGAGGTAGGCCGAGAAAAATCTAATCATCTTAATCATTTGCAAGTCATAAGGAGTACATTCAACCCAAGCTCTAGCAATCATAGAGTGCACAGTTCAGCAAAAATGACTAGATATAAAGCTTTTCAAGGAAAATTATGACTATAGAGAACGACTTCCTAAGAAGTCAATCAAAGAAGTATATAGATTAGCTTTCTGAGACTGAAAATATTAGGAAAATTAATTCTATGTTAAGTCCATCTTAGCTTTTGATTGGTGATAACAAGATAGAAGTTGATTAAACTCATGATTCATTTGTCAGTCATGAAAAGGAATAGGACTTTTAAGAGGATGAGGGTATGGAATAGGACTTTGATGATGAAGGTGAGGATGACGATTAGCAAGATTTAGATTAGATTGACGAAGAGGAAGATGATGATGATTATTTTGATGAGGAGGATAATGATGATAATGAGGATTTAGATTTATCTAACGTTAATAATGTTGAATTAAATCTTGAAAAACTTCAGGGCCTCAACGAAGAGGAGGAAGAAGAGAAATTACAAGTGAGATCAGGCCAAGATGCTCACACTGGAGGTAGTTCCAAGTCCTTCCAAACAGCTAATAATGTAATTAATTCCTAAAATTTCGGAAAACAATCAAGTATTCAAAGCTCCCTAACCAACGAATCAATTTTGATTAAAAGACTGAGATAGCTCTCTGGCGAGCATGATCTATTGATTGGGAGTGATTACTTAATTAAAAGAACTCCTATAAAGCAGGGACTTATTTTCAATTAGAGTCCAAGCAAGCATTCTATTCTCTAAACTGGGTAGTCAAGTAATGAAATAGGTTATCATAGAGAAAAGTTTTTAGTATAAAACTTTATTCGAATAAGAATTGATGAATTTCTGAAGGAATAGCTGAAAAATGAATCAAATCTTACCCCTTCAGAACTTATTGTTAGAGAATCAAAACTCAATATCTACGAGACTGTTTTCAACATAGTCATTAATGATAACATCGATACATTATAGTGCATTCCAACTAAGTTCTAAATATTTTGGGAACAGTCATGGGGTGGAATGGTCACTGTAAGATTGCAAAGTACTTTAAAGTAGTATATTTTCATCACTAATCTGATGCAAGAAGTCACTGACATGCTATTTAAAAGCAACTTGCTGACCTAAAATAGCTCAACTGGCTACTTTATTGGTCAGAAATTAGATCTGGTCTCAAATAAAGATGTAAAGTCTCAATTTCCGTTTGATATAGTGCTGCTTAAAGTTCCTAAGAACTTCATCAGAAAGTTAGTGGGCTATTAAGAAAAGACTTTGACAGAGTATAGAAAGATATTTGCAGTCGATTTCTACTTTGACAGAGAGCTACTGACTGATGACGTATTCCATATGCATGAGAATACAGAGCTTAGAATATTCGGTAAAAATCAAGATGTCTACGCTGTTAATGAACTAGTGCAAAAAGAACTTGAGCAAATCAAAATGAAGACTATTTTGCTTCAAATGAATGATTGCAAGTTGCTGATGGATAATGTAAAGGAAGTTAAAGTTTTGGTTGATCCATGCGAAATCAGAGTCAAGCGAATGATGAGAGAATGGAAAGATCTTAGGCATCCATTTTACTATCTGCCAAACTACTTCAGAGAAATGGCTCTTATTGGTAAAATTCAGGAAATTAGAGACGCCGAGTTAAGAATTGAGCAATTTTTCTTGTCAAAAAGAGACATGAACTATGTGAATAACCAATAGATTAGCTTTCTGCTTCCTATCTACTTCAAAAGTATCAGCAATGAGATTAAAAATCAAGTGAGTTTGAGATGCCCCTCCATCCAATTATTCTTCTATGAACCAACATATCCCAGGAAACATCTGACAGTATTGATGATAGGCCCTTGGTAAGCCTTAATGCAGGCGAAAATTATACTTGAAGAGTAGGCAAATGTTTATATGTTCAGAAATAATCATAGTTTCGAAAATTTTCAATAGTTTACCTACCATTAGCAGATTAGATTCTCGTTTAAGAGTCTAAAAAGATTTGTTTTAGAGAAGGATATAAAGTATCTAAATCATTGGGATCTATGCTCTATATTCTTAGAGGATGCAGGTAAAGAACCCGTATTTGAAGACTTAAAGAAATAATTAATGAGCAGCCAAGCAGAAATTCAATCCTATATTATGAATCCATTATTGATAAATCAGCCTTAGCTTCAAATACTTTCAGCTTCTTAATCATTCCCAGTTTATCCATTCTCCGCATAGAATCAGCTATTCTAGCAACAATAGCTAATGATCTAGGCCTAAATTGAGCAAAAAAGGCAGTTAATTATTATGGAGAAGATGAAGGATTATAAGGCTTTAGTTGATTTCTTGAAAAACTAAGATGTTGAGACTTGCATTAATAGCTTATTCGTTCTTCACGATTACGAAAATGCTGAAGAATCCTTAAGTAAACTCATGAACAGACTCAAAGTTAATAAGAACGAGCTTATTCAGTTTATGAATGTTATGCTTACTAGAAATGTTGAAGACTATGAGGATAGCATTAGAAATTTCAGTAGTCGGTATGAGTAAGTGAGAGTCATTGATCAAAGTCAAAACGATGAGGAAAAACTCGTCATTTAGCAAAACAGAGATTCAATGAAAAGATACAAAAATACCTATGGTGATACGTAGTCATATAATCGAAGTAGATCCCATTCTTACAGATAAGAATTAAATTATCATGGAAGGAATGACAGAGATGAAGGAAGTTATGACAGAGGATATAGCAATAAGAATAATTAGAGAATCTAACCATTTAACCCAGACAATTATCAAAATGCTTAGCCAAGAACTGAATAGAAAGAATCAAGAAGCAGCTACTATAGCAGAAGCAAAAGTAAAAGTAGGAGAAGAAAGTAATCCTACACTAGCGATAGGAGTTCAAGTGATAGAGGAACTAACTATAGATCCTCGAAGTATAATAGAGATCATCATAGTGAGAGTCCGGATAATCACAGACGATATCACGATGCTAGAATATCTTAAAATAGGCATAATCGCAAAAGATCAGATTCAAGAGACTACAACAGGTCTTATAAGGATTCAACTTATAATAGAAGTGGGTATTCTTAAAGAGGAAGAGACAGAGACGATTCATCTCATCACTATAGAAAGAGAGATTATGAAGATAGCCATTAATATAACTCCAATTATCATCATAGAGATAGAGGAAGAAGTAGTGGTAGTGAGAGATCCAGCAATGAATATGATAATTACAACTATCGCAATAGTAGTCATCACAATAACAGAGAAAGAGAAAGATCAAGGCATGGTGACTACAGTTCATCGCGATACAATGATCAATATTAGCATTAAACTCATGGTCCTAGCAGCTCTCACCGTTATCATGATTACAACTCCAGTAATCATTATAATAGCTATACAAAGAAATACGATGACTACAGCAGTTATAACCGATCAAGCAGACACAATTACAGTTCGAGAAGGAGATCAAGATCTTATAGAAGTGCTTCAAGTGAAAGGAGATATAGGAGTCCAAGTCATTATCACAGGTACAGAAGAAGATCAAGATCATATTATGGAGGACACTACAGAAGGTCAAGGTCAAGATATGAAAGGCACCATCGCCATCATCATCACCATTATCATAAAGATCCATATCACCATGTCAGAGCCCTCTAGAACGCTAACAGAGTGAAGCACAAGGGAGGCTTCGACTATGGTTAAATGTCCAGTAACTTTGGCGTGCCAATTCAGAATCAAGCCTATGGAAATGATTAGAGCTTTGCTAATCATCAGAGTAATGCAAGCTAGCAAAATCAAAACTAAACTTACAGCAATATGATGAGACAATAGAATCAGTATGCTAGTGGGTTTGGAAACTACAGCAGCAACTATCGCAACAGCAACAGCAACTTGAATGAGGAGGGTCAACTATGATGTATCTTTTCTAATGATCATAATTAAATTACTTATCATAATGTTACTCTTAATCATTTAATAATATCAACATATCAATTCAACAGCTTAATTACAATCTTAAATATGTTTAAAAGGCTTCTATCAATAATTATAGAGTCTTTAATTGTTCAATCTTTAAATCTTTTATCTATTTCGGGCATTACTTATTGGATCTCTGCTTGGGATCTTTGAGCTCTTTAGATACAGTTGTTTATACAAGACTTCTCAGGGTCACTAAGAGTTGAAGTTTCAAAGTTGTTGATGCACTATTTGAAGCATCTTCCTGCTGTACGGACAACAAAGAACTAAATCTCTTTAAATCGAAGTTCGCGCTCATCTACTTAATGAGTCTACTAGTACTGCTCAGCTGGACTTAATCTCTAATTTCTATTCATTTTTAATTTTATGGTTATAAATCATTCTTGATCAATAATTAGATAGCGGGGTTTTGGGGTTTTGGGGTTTTGGGG